AGGGACGGCTAGCGCAGATAGCCCTCGTGTAGCTTTGCGCGAAATTCAAAATAAACAAACCTTCTATTTCGAGAAATCAAGCGTGATGTGACGTGACACACACTGGCTTTTATATATATATATATAGATTATCTTCAATACGAGGGTCCATCTCAGCATTATTTATACATTATCATTAACAGTGAGAGTACCCAACTTATGAAACAAAAATAATTTATTCTAGTCTTTATAGGTAAGAACGTAAAAAAAGTATATTTAATTAGCTATACTTATCATAGGGCTCATGTTTAGTTTTGATATAAGTAGGTAACTTGTTCTTATCGGAAGTTAATATTGATTGTGGATAAGTAACGACAGAAAGCTTTTGTGACAAGCAGCTGTTTACAGAAAATGAAATTATCTACATTCGAAATCACCCTTAAATCATGGGGTTTTTGAAGTACGGTAACATCATGGATCATTTGGTTCAGAATGGGATTGTTACCTGGACTCTGTGGTTACTACTATCTGCTACAACAATGGTGTTGTCTGGTCCTACACAGACTCCTCTGGGCCACGTGAAACATGATGGTTCACTCCCCCTGACACCCACTTTCATAATACATTTTCGTTTATGCATGTAAGAAATTCTTGGATAATTAAATGAATAGGACTGGCTTCTGGAACGTCTGGAAGATGGAGATTCTGAACTTCGTCCTTTAGGAGATTCTTCATCTGAGCTGTCATCACTATCACTTTTGGAATAAAGACCACGAGAAGTACGACTACGAAGTGCAGAACTACCAAGACCTGTTGATGGGCGTGATCCATACTTATCTCGTATATATTTTGCCCAAGATCTTGATCCAGTAAGTGTTGTATCATCAGGGCTATCATCTCTACTGGACTTAAATGTGGAACTCTTCCTACGCCGATGTGTTGTCAAGTCATCATCTGGGCTTTCTTCGCCTGCAAGAATATCGGCCGAGCTCTTACTGCGGGAAACTCTGCTACGGCGGAGATTACTTCCAACGTTGGTGTCATATCGGTACCGGTCTGAAGCACCCCTAAAAAGATCTTCTGACCTATCATCACGGTTAATGGACAATCTACCTAGGCCTGCTGAGCTACGGCTACGTGCCAAGTATCGTTTATAAGCAGATGTACTGTCCCTGGTATCGTCCTCAAGTGCTGCTCTTCGGCTGGAGCTGTCATATCTACTTGGATATTGAGACTCCTCGTCACGAATCAAACTGTTCCTTGCAGCTGATCGGTTTTTGTTCTCTTCTTTAAGTGTATCATAATGAGAAAGACGGGATCCCGTAGAGGGAAAAACATCTTTACCAGATAAATCAACACTTTGTCGGGAATTTTGTGCTCTTCGAGAAGGTGTGGTTGTGGCAGTAGGATTATTCACGCTAATATTCAGTTTCTTAGGCTCTTCTGGTTCTTCACTTTCTGTTTCTGTACTGCTGACTTCGCTTTCACTTTCAGTTTCGCTATCCTCTTCTTGAACTTGAGTCTTTGGGGTAGCTTGCTGGCCAAGAAGTCTTCCATAGAAAGAAGACTGAACTGGAGTCTTTTTTTCCTCACTTTCCTTAGCTTGTGACGAATTTCTTCCTAATGAACTATCATTTCTGCGAGAGGTGGGACTGATCACTGGAGGACTGCCTTGCTTACCATCCACTTCTGCCGACTGAGTCTTTCCCAGTGGGGAACGGAGAGACCTAGAGAATGAAACCAAATAGTTATCATGTTTGAATATATGCTTTGGTTACTTAAAACTTCACTAGGAACTATGAGCATTCAGAGAACATTCAGTATAAAAAAAATAGGAAAGGATTGCATAAGAATAATTTGTACTAGTTACTGAACAAATAAAACTGTGAAGATGGCCATCTTGACGAACTGTTCCTTTTGCTGGATTTTATGGAACTCTGGCTAAAGGAAGTTCTTGAGGGGAAGGAGTTAGAGTAGCCCTTTTGAATTGGATATGGTATTGTTGTTCATTTAACTCTTTAAGCATCATAGCAGATATATTCGTTCAAGGTTGTTTTATTATCACTGATCTCAAGCTACAAGTTCGGTGTCTGATGAAATATGGTAATATTGCTGGATGATATGATTTTTCAATAGTATAAAATCGAGTTTGTAGCTATTACTTGTTGATTCAAAGAAAGTTTAAGAACAGTCTATTTTTAATATTTTCTCTCCCTCCAGGAAGGACGGCGAGGAGATGCAGTTAATGAAGTTGCTGCATTTGGTTTCTCCTTATTTTCTAGGGTTCTTGTATCTTGGATGTGAGACACAGCTTCAACTATTTCATGATTAGGACTGAAAGCAATAAGTTCGGTAGAATCTACTAACCCATTATTTTCAGATACTTGCCTGGACTTTGGCCTGTCATCTTCCCGCAAAGGGTGTGATACTTCTGATGTACGTGCAACACTTGTTCTTTCAGGTTCCGGCTCAATTGATGAACTTCCTTCGTGCTTTTTTGCTAGACGTTGAACTGAGGTATCTGGAACATCATCTTGTTGGGAACTCCGTCTTGATGACATCCTGCTTTCTGTAGAACCATCTGAAGAAGATGCTCCTGATTTATAAGTGCGTTTTGATGACTCAGGAGTTTTAGTCTTTGCTGTTGACTCATATAATTTCTGCAGTTACTGATACTCTTCTGGTAAGGGGGCGTCCTGGTGATTCGAGGTTAGTAGGAGTGGGAGGTGGACTTGATACAGGAGATGAGGAAGATGATGCCCCAGGAGAAACAACAGACACTGGAGATTCTACTGATCTTTGGGTGTTCTGCGTCAGATCGGGGCTCTTACATTTAGCTGTAGAATCATCAGATTTTTGTAGAGTTGAAACTCTTCTGGTTAGAGGACGGTTTGAGGAATCAGGGTTTGGAGTAGGTGGTGGGCTGACCTCAGGTGTAGATGCATTTGAAGGGACAGCTGCAGCAGCTGCTGCTTGATTTTGTTTCTTTTGTTTTTCTATTTCATCTTCACTGAGTTGACGGTTTGTTTGCCGTCGTGGAGGTACAGGAACAGGATTGGAAGGTATAGGATTAGATTGTTCTTTCTCCTGCTGTTCTTTTTCCAATTTTTGCTGTTTCTGACGAACTTCGTTCTGGTGGAGTCTTTCCATGAAGTATGGAGAATCTATTAATTTTACCACTCCACTCAAGGGACCCTTAGTGACGTCACTTGTTTTAAATAAGTTCTCTTGTTTTTCAGGGGGTTCCTCAAAACGGACACTTCGCCCAGTATTTACTTCTTGTTCTTGACTTTCGTCAGAGTGATCTCTAGTAAATCGAGATCGGTAGGTAGATGTGTCAGCATCTGCGTCTCGCCAGTTTCTATAGGTTAAAGCTCCACTTTCGTCTTTTAAATATCTATTTCTTCCTCTCTCTCTATCAGATATGTCATAATCTCTTCGCTCTCCAAAACGCTTGTAACTGCTTCCCTCTCCACATTCTCGCCAGTTTCGGGCAAAGCCACTGGAACTGCTTTCTCGTTCTAACTCACTGGTATGACTTCCCAAAACTCTATTAAGGTCAAATTGTGTTCTCCCTTCTTGACGACGCTGAAATTGACTGGCTAACCGATGATCACTCTGGCTTCTCATCAGGGCATTAGATGGTGGTGGAGATACAGTAATTGAGGGTTTTGAAGTCAATGCAGAAATATTTAGCTCTCCTAAATCTATCAACATTCGATGTACAACATCGGAATCAGTTCGGGTGTGGAATCTAACACGACGAGAAAAATCTGAAGGATCGCTTTCGAAGTTTCGTATGAATTCTAAAGTTTTCACAAATATTTCTTTGTACTGTACAAGTTCGACATCTGTCCATTCCATATCTTCATTGACATACTTATCTACAAGTTCACAGTTGCTGTTCAAATTTTCCACTTCAACCTCCAACTGGTTTTTCAACTGTTTCATCTGGCACAACTCAGATTGCAAATACTCATCTAGCTCCAAAAGGAGTTTGTCTTCTGAGTCTTTTAAATCTTTGGTACAGCGACGAACCAGTTCTTCTATTTCATCCTTAACCTTGCCACAGTTTTGCTTAAGTTTTTCTGTGTTGTTTTGGGTAGTCATCAAACCTTCAGACAGCCTTTGAAGACCTCTTCTGACCTGGTTGTTAATTCGACCGATTTCCCGACGAAGAATATCTGTGTGAGCCTCTCTACATTCATCGCATACTTTCTTATCACAATGGGCACACTTAATGACGCAAGCCTTCTCACTGCATATGACGCAGCGCTCCATCATGGATGGTGGAGGTTCTGGCTCTTCCCCAGTGACATCTCTATGAAGCTCCAAAAACCTCACCAAAGTCACATTTGTAGGATATGTCTGAACTCCCTGATATGGAATTCGATGCTCCGCTCTGCACTCTGGGCATTTTATCTGCCGGCGACCATAATCAATAAGACCCTCCAAACACGGGTCTGTACAGAATGTATGTTGGCAAGGAAGTAGTTTTGGGTTTCTATACCTGTCCAAACAGATCGCGCAAGTGAGAAGTTGTTCTAATTGACTCCAAGCTGAAGACATGATCCTTATTCCGTACTATATGAATGTTCACTAATTTCAAGATTTCCAGAAATAATATGGATTAACAAAATTCCTGTTCACTAGAAGAAAACTAAATGCTTCTTCACTACTAAGATGAAATTACTTGTCTATGACTTTCCACTTTGTCAAAAGTTGTACAAATTTAAGCTGCATAGCATACGAGATCGTAGACGTGATTCTTTATCCTCCAAATTTCCAAGAGTTGATTTCATTCTTGAACGTTCTAGAAAAAAAAACACATTTATCAGTATTTCTTAACCTACAACACTGAATCATTTAAGCTGATTTAAATTATTTTGAATCATAGAAAGTTTTATATCACAAATTTAAAGTTTAACATAACATCGTATTCACAAACAGAATTTCAAGTGAAGTATTGACAGTTGTTGAAATTTAACCCTAAATAACAGCTCACAGAGAGCGGTATTTTATTAGCAGGTGTTTTGATAAGAAAAATTTAAATATTATAGTGGATTAGAATGCAAAGTAAGAACCAGTTTTGCTTTAGTCTTATAGTTATGTATCACAGCAGTCTACATCTAAAATTGCCCCCCCCCAGTGGCAT